CATTTCGAGCACCCACACCTATCGATATATTGCATTATATACAAAAAACTTCTTTTTTTTCAAATGTACTTAGTTGACCTTTGTCTGTGTAAGGTTTTTCAGGGTTTTCTATGTTTCAGTCTATAGAGTCGGTGAAGATAGGAGGACGTGCATTGGATGGCTTGGGAAACCCTATGCATCTGGCAGCTGGAGGGTTTTTAATATAAGGTTTTTGTTGCTTGGATGATGTTTTTTTTTGTTGGATTTATGTACTAGCTGCAAATGATGTCGTGTGTAGTTATATTATCCGATTTTTCGGTGATTTACATAGTCTTTTGATGTGAAGACCTGCTGGTTATGATTTTTGTAGGTTTGGTTTTCGGCAAATTTTGTTTTTGCTGTTTTTTGTATTGATTTTTTTTTTGATTCGTAGTTTCTGATTTTGTGGTGTGTTTCATCAGTATAGGAATGTTGGTGGCAAGGCGTGAATGTTTTTCGGTTCGATTTGTGTTTTGGTTAGCATGATATTCATATGAAATGAGTAATCTATGAAAGTGTAGCGGAGAAAGTGGGATAGTTAATTTTTTGGCTAGCTGTTGTTGCTAGGATGATTTATAAAGTTCATGGCATTCGTATGTTTGGTGTTTTTATAGAATAGATGGATTGGAATATTTCCTGTGTTTTTATAGACGACTTCTGTTGTTTATGTCGTTTTTGGTTGTTTTTTGTGGTTGTGGCGTGTTCTGTTAGTTTGAGAATGATATATTTGTAATGTTTTCGATGAATCATATATCGATCGAGATGTTTGTTTTTTTGATTTAGTGTGCTATGGTTCAGTTGGTGTATGAGTGTGAGTTTGGTTTTTGAATGAATGAAAAATGTATATGGTACAGCTCGAATTGGTTTATTAGCATGGATGTCAGAATCTGGTTTATTAAGGATACGAAGGAAGTCTTCATATAGATTGATTAGCAAAACTGTGAACACTGTGGGGAGATGGACATCTGCATACTATAGTTTTCATAGTTCTGTCAAATTTGGTGATATCAAAAGAATTTAGAAACATATATTTGTAGATATGCCGGTATAGAATACTGACTGTGATGCCTCCATTGGGTTCATGTCAATAGTACGCTGACTCTGTGCCACACATTTTTTTGCCATTTTTGACCCTTGCATTCGGTACATGGCCATTTCGGGCGCGGGGGTAGCAATAATAGTCAATGAGCATGTAATATGTGAATGCAAGAAAGTTGTTCAGATATGATGTGATCATCGATGCCTCTATATTCCCTGTACTTTTGTCTTCAAATCACTCTCTTTTACGTTTTTTTTTTCTTTCCTCTATCGATCGTTGTGTCTATTCATTGCTATTGGTCATCTGTCCATCTACCAATCCCATTGAGCAATGAGAGAAAAACAAAAGTGGGCAGAATTCTATTATTTTATTCTCTCTCTCTCTCTCTCTCTCTCTCTCGCGCTCATCTATAAATACACATGCATGTTCAGCTATTCAGTCATTTTACAATCGTCGATTGTCGAGGTAAGTCACTTTTATAACTTCTTCCTTTACCTTTTCACTTTTCCATCTTTTTTTTTTCTTTTTCTTTTTAACTTAGTGTTTGTTTTGTACGTTTTGCTTTTACGTAGCGTCCACGATATGTGAAACTTAACATATATGACTTCCATCTCCCAATATTTTTCCTCTACTCTTCTTTTATTCGCCTATTACTCATATAGACCTATCAGTCACCTGTATTCAGCTACTCTACTCCATGTATGCCTATCCCTTACATATAGTCTGATCGCATATGATTCTGAATCAAATATGAATGAATACACTAGTTTGGCATCCTGTTCATCACCAAAATTTGATTCAATTTTCAATGCATTTTTATGAATATACAGTTCATATTGATCTATGATACACACACATATGAGACGAATTGAACTATATATATATATTAATTACGATAGATAGATTACTTTTTATTGACTTAACAATAATTTCAATGCTTTTATTTTAGATATTCGAACGAATTACACTTTCACTCTTCTTCATTAAATTAAAATTTCAATTCCAATGTCTTCATCTTCAACAACGGATAATTCATTGAAAAAAGAGAAGGAACAAAATACCAAGGAGGAGATTCGTAAGGAATCCAATATCATTACTCATTCAACTAAATTAAATGATGTAAGTCGAACTTCTAATACATATATTAGGTTATACTTCAAAACACAAACGTACGTATCTCTTGTTTGTCTTTCTTCCCTATGAATCTAGTCAACAGAGACGTCTACAACAACAACAACAACAACAACAACAACAACTGGTCGTACTCATCCGTATGACATAGATCCTATAGCCATCATTTCATCAACAGTCGAACCTCAACCAGGATTATTTCGCTCAGGCATGCCGTTAGATTTCACTTCAGATAATAGTATAGTAGCGAGTGTGTTCGAAGATGATATGAATAAGGACGATGATAATAAGAATAATGAAATCGAGGAAGAAAGCAGAGATCTGGAGGAAAATTTCAATATCTATACATCACAGAAAAGTCAAAACACAACTGAACTAGAACATCTTTCTCAAAAGGTAATGACTGAACGCCCTCTCGATGATGAAGTTAGTGATGCGATAATGCAACAATTAGAAGATGTAATAGCTATGACAACAGAAGACATATTAGTGATCAATGATGATGAGGACAATAATACGGATGAACAAGAAGCACGAGCAACAGAATCACAACGATCAATAGCAGCAACAACAGCATCGTCAACAATGATGATTGCTACTCAACCATATCCACCTTTAACACAAGTAGGCATTGTTGTTGACCACGATCGTCCTTATGCTGATTATGGTCATCTCGGTATGTAAAAATGAGTATAATATTGATAGGAAATAAAAAGATAACATTTTTTTTTTTCTACACATATATACATGTTGTCGATTTTCATTGATACTTATTAGATAGAGAAACTATTGCTCGAGAATTTAATTTTAACTTGGACAAACCAAATGAACTGAGTAGTAGTATGACGACGACGACAGATAAAACAACAGCTGGAGCGTTGTTTCGACGAGCAGCGAAATCATGGGCTATCACATCGTGGACAAACGTCTCTAGTATGATTGATTGATATTCTTTGTATTCATTCTATATATATATATAGACTTCATTATAAAACTCAATTTATAAATGAATACTCATCTTTATGTATATATGTGAATATTTCATAATTTTCAGGAGACATTGTTATGGATGATATCAAAAAACAATTTGGTATTGCTAATCTTCAATATGTATGTATAGGACAAGAGATTGGTAAGAAAAGCAATCAACCCCATCTACACATACAAATCATTTTTAAAACGATCATGAATAAAAAAACTTACTTCCTTGATAAAATCACAGGTAAGTAGATAACGATGGAAACGAATCATCGTTCATAGGATTTTTTCTTTCCACTTATAGTGTACTCAAAAAGTGAGAACACTCTAGAATCGGTCAGTATGTCCGTCCGGCCGTTTACACGATAACTTTTGAAAGGAGAGTCCGATTGTGATGAAATTTTATACACAGCTTAGTCTCAACAATATCTCGGTCGAATTCGACGATGAGAAGGATTGGCCGAGCCGTTGCTGAGTTATTGGAAAAATAGTCATTTTTTTTCTATGCCTTCCGATGCGAGAATCGACCTATCCCCGCTTTCATAAAAAAAAACTTTTCCGATCATAATCAAATGAAACCCCGACTATTATATACCATTCGATAGAGAATTTCACGAGCTACAAAATGGTATATAAAACATAAAGAAATAAGAAGACTAACTCATCTATTGCAAAGATAACTAAATGGGAATTGGTTCTGTTTGTGCCCACACCCACCCAATTGATCTCTAATTAGAGCTCTGTCTTTTGATCAAAGAGATGATAGCTCGAGGTTTTCTAGAACGGAGAACTCGAATCTGTACTCCACTTGCCTCGAAATCCCATTGGTTGAGCAGTAACCAATAGAAATGAAGTTATATGAAAACCGGCTTTCTAAGGATAAATCAAGGCGAAGAGTCCAAATCTAAGCTGTATTCACCCCGAAAACCTATTGGTTGAGCAGTAGCCAATAGAAATCAAGCGTATTATAGAAAAGGTTTGCCAGGCTAATTTTTATATCCACACATTCTAGGATGACCGATTTTTCTCATTCACTTTTTGAAGTACACATAACTCTCGGATTTAAATCAGAGGTTTCCGCATTTATTTTTATTCACAAAACGAATTATTCTTTTCATATATATATAGACTCACATTGCAATTATCAAGTAACAGAAAATGATCGAGCTTGGAATGAATATATTAAGAAAGGTTAGTCATCGTCATAGATTAGATATAATTCTGTAGATGTTATTATACATACATACATACAAACAATAGAGTCCGATTCTTATCTTTGATACACCCTTCAAAGTAAAACAATTAATGTATTATCATAGGTCTAAATTTTACCGAATTTGGTACATTTAAATCGACCACTGCACGAGGTTTAAAACGATGGCCCACACCAACAACGCATGTTTCATCACCAACATTACCTGTAACAACAACGGGTCGACGACCAGCAAAAGAGACCAAAGATCAAAAACGAGATCGAATAGCAAAAGAATGTCTTGAATTAGCACGAACTAGTGTTGAAAATGCGATGGATCACTTACAAGAACAAATGCCGTACGAATTTTCTGCTCATAGTACATGGTTTGTATTGCACATATTCTATATACGAAATAGATATAGAACACATGATATATTTCCATCTTTTTTTTAATTATGCTGAATTTTATTCGTGACATCCATAATTTTTTTTTTGGGAGATTTTTTACAATTTCTGCGGACGCTTACGAATGTATGCAACGGACAGGATAATGATAACAAACAGAGAAAGAATACGAAGAAAATGAAAACGAACAGAATGAAACTCGAATTCGAGCCAATGATGACGATGTAGCGTGCATCGTTGCGTTTTCTTTTGTTTATTCTTCCGATACCATATATCTTGACACCGAATGCACGATGCCGGGGGAAGGAATCGAACCTTCTCATCTCTAACTATAATCAGATGCATAGAACCACTACGCCATCCCCGGCTTATTTCCATCTTATGAACACATATATAGGTGTTCGTGTTCTTCTTCTTTTTTTTCTTGTTTCTTGTTGAATTTTTTAGGCATTTATCGACATTTAATTATGTTCATTTACGAGTAAAGCAAATGGCGGATGAATTAGCGAATCATAGAAAAGAATATATTTGGCCTTCATCATTTCCAGATTGTACCTCAGCTCTTCGTACGTATTTTTTTTTTTTTTTTTTTTTTGGTTTTTGCTTTCCTATTAAGATGTTTTGTTTTTCTTACATACTATCTATCGAAAATCAAAAGGTGACACCGTCAATAAATGGTTAAAATATGAATTTATACGGCGAAAACGTGCTCGATGTTTAATTTTAATTGGACCAACGGGTAGCGGAAAAACATCATTTGCGTTCTCATTACCTGGTCCAGTCAATTATTTCAAAGGACGATGGCGATTAAATGGTTGGAATGAAAATGCTCGATACTCTGTTTTTGATGATATACCATGGGATGAATATGAGAAACGGAACTTTCCAGATAAAAAAAATTTACTTACACAAAATGGTCTTACCAATGTACGTGTTGTATGAATGGGAATGTGTTTCTTTTTTTCTTCTTTTACTTCTGAATAATATGGTTCTACACTATTCTTGAACAAATTTAGGCTACTGATAAATATTCTCGTACTGTCGAAATTAATATCACACAACCGGCCATCGTACTTTTAAATCCAGATCGTGATGCAGGTGTTTTAGGACGAGAACCAAGAAATGATGAAGAAAAAAAAGAAATGACCTATTGGAATGAACGAGCACTTATTTATCGAATGGGTAAGCCATGTAGGACAAGAATAACTAACAGAATCAAAAACATCATGGAACTTTCATATGTATGTTGATCTCTACTTTTTGTTAGGTCCTGATGAATATTTTTATAAAGAGGAAAGACGTTATTCACAAATACATACACCTGAAGATCGTATTGGTGATCCAAATGAATTTGAACAAATGGTTCAACAATATCAACAGAAACATCATAAATAATAACTATAATAATAAGAAAAGAAAAGACAAACGATAAAGATTATTCATAGAAGATTTCTCTTCTTCTATGCTCAAAGATTTCTTTCTTTTTTTTTTTTTTTTTTTTTTTTGTTAGTTGTTTCATTATTTAATCATTCTTATTATTTAACTTTGAGTAGTACTAATTGTACTTGATTTCGTACTGTTTTCATTTATTCCATTTCTTATTCATTGACTCTTTACTGTTTTACTTGTTCTTCCATCATATTCTCGCATTTTATTAAACTTTCAATCAATTCAATTACATCTGTCGAATGAAATTTTGATTACCTTTCGAAGTAACATTGAAATTTTGTTAACTAATTTGGATTTTCGAATTCAGATTGGTTTAAGCCATTTGATAAGACCCTTAAGCAAGGTCGAAATCGATCATGGTAGCTTGACAGCACAAAGGGTATTGTTTTTCTTTTTTTTCGTATACATCTGATTGAAGACATCATCTTTATTCGAACATAAAATATACACCATTACTTCATTTTACTCATCTTAGCTTTACTGTCAACTTACATATTAAGATTATTATCAACACTACCTAATGAATCAAAACTGCAATCATTTACAACAGGCATCTCAACTTCAACATCATGGTCGAATAAAATCAAAACGTATATTATCAACTCAAGAACGAGAAGAAAAACAACGTCAACAACGACTTCAAAATATGGCTTTTGAACAACGCTTTAATATGGATCTGGAAGAAAAACTCAAAGATTACGAATGTTTAGATCATTAGTTTATTATCAATGCTAGAACTCCTCGAGAATTGATCTTTGAAAAAGGTCAAAACTATAGTTGCAGTATTTCTTAAACGTAATACTACATGCACAGTCCCTCTGTTTTGTTCAAGTTATAGTCATATTTAGCTTGGATGATGTCCATGCTCTTCTGTACAATCTCAAGTTTCTTTATAATAATTCACAACTTGATTTTTTTCTTTCAGATATAACATTTATAATGAGTGACAAAACTCATTCGAAAGATATAACATTTCAGACACCACGTCAAAATGTTCAACATGTTGAAGTTGAATTACATTCGTCAATAGAAGTGGTAGTACCTGAACAATTGCAGGAACAAGAGAATAACAGGAAAAAAAAATGCCGTGGTGACCGTAAAAAACAACGTTATCGACGACAACTGCATAATCAAGGTTTAAATTCAGCTACGGTGACAAAGTTAGTTGAGGAAAAATTTCCTTCGGCAGTACAACAAAAAGAAAATAAAAAGACCCTCAAAGAACATGACCTAAAAAATATTGAAGTCTCTATCTCATCAAACCAAGTATGTTTTTTGTTTTAATTCATTCATTGATATAAGAGCTCTTAGTTATCTTTTATTCAGACTACAAAGTCACAAAGAAATAATGTTAATAATAATGCTACTATGGATATGGAAACAAAACGAAAAAGAATTTTGTTAACACCAACACCAACAGCAGAAACAATATCAATACTTGATAAACCATTAAGTCAATTATCAATATCACAAGGAGTTGCTAAGAAGACCAAAACAACTACAGTAGCTGAAACAACATCGATACTTGATAAATCTTTTAGTCAAATATCCATGTCAGAAGAAAATGCTAAGAAAACTAAAGCAACAATTGCAGATAATCAAGTCTACAAGGAACATAACGAGCTATCCCAGAGTTATTTAGAAAATTTTAAGCCACGTTATTTAAAAGTATCTAATCGAATATTTAAACAAATGTTATCCGATGCTATTGAAAATGCTTCCAAATTAATTGTATCTTTAAATACTTCTGAAAAACTTCATACTGTTCGTGAAATGACTGAAGTAACAAATAATTTATATTTTAAAGATTTTCAAGAAAAACTATGGCAAGAATATTATAATATAAGTTTTCAAGACAATAATTGGGAATCCAAAATAACTAAACACTTTGCTCGTCAACACAATACATGTCAAATGTATAGACCACGAAAATCTTATATTCAAGAACGTTTTGCAACAATTGCCAAACAAAAAGAACGAATACGAAAACAATTAGATGAATATTTAAACAAGCTATTACATGATGTACAAGAATGGCAGCCACCTATCGATGGATATCTATTAACAAATGCCATTAATGAATGTGTTCTACATAGTCAAAAACGATTAAAAGAAGAATTTCAATATAAAAAAGAAATGTTAAAATTAGATTCGAGTGATCATCAATTACTTAGAAAATTTTATGAATTAAAACCTAATGAAGAACTTATTCAATTAGCTCAACAAATTTGGCAAGTAGCAGCTGACGAACAAAAAACGAAAGAACAACAAGAAATACTTCGACAACGTATTTATTTAAAACGATTACCAAGCAAAACAGATCAGATGATAAATCAATTACTTAATGATAGTCGAATAACACTTTCCAATCCTTTTCTTGACCCAGATCAACGTGCTAGTTTTGCATCACGTTGTTCAAAAACAATCATACAATGTAAATTTAATTTAATGATTGTAGAATTGGACGAATTTGCAATTGTTACACATCGTTACGATCTGACATTAACTAATTTAAAAGAAAAATTATTAAATCTTAATAAGGAAAATCCACTTGTTTATAAAACTGAATTGAAAGATATCATTGAAGAACGTCGACAAGCAATGATACAACGATTTATACGAATGCGTCAACATAAATTGAAGACTTTTTTCGACCAAGCTCCGACGGTGGACAACAACTAATTAAACAAAATCACCGTCGGAGCAGTCCATTTATTTATACAAAAATAAGTAGTTCATTACCATTTATTGAAACGAACATAAATTTAGGTGTACAATCAATATCTATCTTAATCAATGGTCGTAAATATGTTATACGATGTCAAAGTTACTTTTCTCGTCAAAAAAGAGACGAAATGACTAAAAATGAATATGAGAGAGTATCGAATGTTGTTAAAAAAAGTATTGATAGTAATCAAATGTCAAAAACGGATGAACGAGCACAAAAAGCCTTTCCAGAATTAGAACAAACTATTAATGATTTATATTCAAAACCATTACCATCAAAATTATATCGACGTGCTCGACGTGAATATAAGAAAGTAAAACGTCTTCAAAACTTGTTACATCGTCGACCTGATATTATTGTATGTCGAATAGATAAAGGTGAAGGATTTTATTTTGGTAATCGAGCTACAATGGATTATAAAACAGAAGAATACATGAATCAAACTGAAGCTTATCAAGAAGTGATCACTGATCGTTGTCCTTTAGCTGATATTCTACGTTCAACAGAAGCTGTACTCGATTATCTCGTTAAGAAAAAAGCCATTACAAAAGCTCAACGTGATAAACTTCTACTTAATGTAAACAAACTTGAACTACCTTATTTGTATCCATTACCAAAAATACATAAGGTAAAATTATATTTAGAGAATTCTTCTTTGCTTATTATTTTAACATGTCTTCTTCTTCTTCTTATTTGATCTTCTAGCTTGGAATTCCCATCAGACCTATCGTGTCTGGACTACATGCTCCAGTAACATTAGTTTCAAAATTTTTGTATCATCTTCTAACACCTATCTATATGCAAGTGGCTCATGAAACCACATTTATTAATAGTATTGATCTTGTTCGTCAATTAGAAAAATATGCTGCCGATGGTTATCTTAAACCTACAACAAAGTTTATTACAGCTGATGTTGAAAATCTTTATACTATGATACCAAGAGAAGGTGGCATTAATGCATTAATACGATTTTTAGATAAATATTCTAAATATCGCAAGATAGGTCCATTTACTATAGACATGATATTAAAAATGGCTCGTCTAATTTTGGATACAAATTGTTTTGCATATAAAAATAAATATTATCAACAAAAACGTGGTGGCGCAATGGGTTCAGCATTTACACAAGTCTTTGCGAATATTTATATGTTAGAATGGGAGAAAGATTTAATTGAACACCAGATATCGAAACATGAAATTTATGGACGGTTTGTTAAAAGCTTAAGGCATAAACAGTACTGATAATATATTTCTCATTTTAGATATATTGATGATATTTTTATGACCATGAATGAACCATTCGATGAACTAACAAAAAAACTCGACGAAGCACAACAGAAAGATGTCAATATTAAAATAAAGCCTACCATTCACGAATCAGTTCATTTTCTTGATGTTACGATTACGAATGAAAATGGTCAATTAAGAACATCTATCTATCATAAACCAACTGCTGATCCATACTTTTTACCATATACATCAGATCATCCACATCGAATTCATCGCAATATACCATACACTGCATTAGTACGTGCTGCACGTCTTTGTTCAAATCTTCATGATTTTCATTTCGAACGATTACGTATTGATGTATCATTGTTATTGAATAACTATCCACCAAAATTTATAACAAATCAATTTCATCAATTTTTTCAAGTGAATAAAGCTGATATTCTAATCAAACGATTCAATGAACAAACTTATAAACAATTACATCGAAAACTACTATATCAACCATCGAAACGTGAAATTGAATTGAAAGCTACGAAAAAAGATCCTGTCCTATTTCCGCCGATATTACAACAAAAGCCATGGAATCCTAGTATGATGTACTTACGATACCCATTTGAAAGTGGACCCATGTCAACATTTCCTCAAAAATTCCTCATATGGTGGAAAAAACATTACCAATACCCAGGATCACCAGCAAATCGTATACAAATTCGCCTTATCCCGAAGACAAACCGATCATTACAAAACTTATTGATCCGAAAAAAGCCTCCACGGTTAATTCTCACAGGAATGGAACCGAAAACAGAATAATAGCTAATAATTAACATTTTCTTTTCGCTTTTTTTCTACATTTCTTCTACTTCGTGTTTACCTAATGTAAATGTGAATATTAAATAATACATTTAATAATCGATTAGTCTTTATTAATATCCATATGATTAACTTTAAATAATTTTCATACATTTCAGATATTCGAAAAATATATCGCGCCACTATACAACCAATTTATCGACCACTGCCGAAAGAAACACAATATACACTGAAAAATATTCCAAGGTAAAATCGTTTTCTCCATATATGTTTTGAAATCTACCTCTAGCCAATAGACCTTAACGAGCCACGAACTATAGCAATGCATCAAATGACACTTTCCACCTCAGAAACACATCTCATAGGATACTTTCAGACACTAAACCATTTGATGAGAGTCATTGAGCATCAGTTCAGAAGTATCGCGGCAGCCTCTATATACCATACAAGAACAAAATCCATTTATCATACCTATCCATCCCTCTTTCTTTTCGCGCGATCTCTACATACTCTTTCCAAAACCAAAAATATATACATATTTCTATACAAAAACAATCCACAGCGGTGAAATCAACTTCATATAACAAACCAAAACTACAGCAAAAAACTAAAACATTGACCTGGAAACACAAACATATAGGACACCATCCAAAAACCACTGAAAACTAATATTTCTCAAACTTCACCATTTCCAACACAACCAAACCCAATCGCAAATATCCACACCGGACTCCATCGAAATCCCACAGACGCGTAGTGTGATGCTTTCAATCTCGAAAATTTCTTAATAATGATTTTATATCGTTATTTGGATTTTAGTACGGATTAATCTTTAACTACTTCAGAATTGGAGAGTTCTAGATTAAAATGTACTTGATTGTAAACATACCTGATGAGTCCCTTAAGCAAGGACGAAACGTCGTGTGATGCTTTCAATCTCGAAAATTTCTTAATAATAACTCATGCATATGATCATTCGTTTTACATCAACTATTCCATTTCACAAAATACACCAAGACTCATTTAGTTTCGAATTCTTTGAAATTCGTTACGAGAGCCATTTGACAATC